TTTTATGAAAGGTAAAATACATTTTATTAAAAATAATATCAGAATTACAAATTTATCACGAGTTAAATCAAAATGAAAAAAAAAACATTGAAAACTTCTATTTCAGCACATTTTTTTCTGAAACCTTCGAAAAATGTCACGTCTAAAAGACACAAAAATAAAAAAAAATCTTTTAACCAAACTGGCAAATGGATTCTGGGTTTTTATACAGATTTAATCTATAAAGTTAATATTACAGTGGCAACATATGGACTTGTCTGGATTTCTAACTAAAAAATTATATTATAGTTTAGGGATCAGCCTTCAAGTACAGTGAGTGAAAAAAAATACTTTTATTAAATTTATTTGGAAGACTTTCATTTTAGTGCCTTTTTTATAACATCGGGCGCAGAACATGGAAGAATAAAAGAGATTAGAAAACTTACAAACGTCTTAATCGAATTTAACACAAACGTTTTAATCGAAGGATCTTGAAGTGTAAAACGTTTTTAAGTACCAAAAATACACTTCTCAAGCTTTTGTTATTGCAAGAGCCAATTACAAAAACAAAAAAGTGATTACAGACTGAGCGTAGTACGTTATTTCGAAAGGTAAAGTTTGTATAGATAACTCAATGGACTCGACGCTACGAACAGCTGCTGTCTTCTACGATAGTCAGAATTCAACTAAATCCTGACCTGCCCTGACTAAACCGATAACGCCGCTACATTGACAGATGTTACCCGCTCATAATGGAATTTTTAGGTTAGCCACCGTTTCGCGCGCATTTTGGGAGTCAACCTTCTGGTTGATTTCTATTTTGTGGTTGAACTATACTACCAGTTAAAATATCTGCACTTATTTCTGGGACACCCTGTATATATAGTCTGTAAAACGAATAACTATGAATTTGACAGTTCCCGCGGGCTTTTCTACAGGGTTGCCACAAGAAAATTTTTGATTGTGTAGAACTTGACCATAAAAATGTCTAGCATTGTGTAGCCATCCATGATCAATAATTGTAAACTATCCAATAAGACCAAGAATACGACGTACGTTCGTCAAATTTTAAAGCATGATTAGAGTCTCACTTCCAGTCGTTTGTATACGTCAATATATTTATTTCCCATTTAATTTTATTTCATGCCAGCAAATATTGCAGTGACGCCAAAATTGATGCCGCGAAACTAACGATTATATGGACCAATTAGACTTGTTAAAAAAGTCTGTTTAAAAACTGAAAACTATTGAGGACTGTTTAATCGGCCAAATTTGTCCATAGGAACTGCAGTCCATGCTGATCACAGAACACACTAAAGAAGAACGCTAACTCCCATGCATTTTTTAGTTTCAAAACGGTTTCAAATTTGTAAAGAAATCTGTAATCTGTATGTTGAAGTGGCGCCATCTAGCCACCCAGGAAAGTAACAAATGTGGCGGCAAATTTAAATAGATGCAATTTATTTTTAAGCAAGTCGTATTGACTTGTTCGCCAGTTAGAGCCAATCAGATTTCTACAAAATAATGTGTAGTCATCTGATTGGTCCCAAATTGGCAAACAAGTCAAATGGTAAAAAACAAGGATTTATATATAAAGGTTAAACCAGGTTAAACTATTGTAAAGTGTTAAATGGTTTGCTTATATCATTTTAAGTGCATAAAACCTAAATAAATAATTTAATTTAATTTACAGAAAATTATACCATGAAACATTTTACAAACAAATAAAACAACAGATTAAAAAGTATAATATTTATTATAGTACCAGATTTAAGAACACATAACAAATATCGTTGGAATACAAGAGAAAGTGACGTCCATTAGAAACAATAATGTTTTATTTACGTGTATTTTTTACATATGGACTTGAACAATTGTGTAATATCACATTGTGGAGTTTATGTACAAAAATATGGAGTTGATCACTTTTTTTTGTAAAAATATATGGCGTTGTAAATATTACATTGTTAAAAAATAAAATTCAGGAACATTTGGACTTGGTTAGGTTACCTCACCTCACTTTCTTGGATTATTAAATACAATTGTTAGATAAATCAAAGACCTTTAACTTAAACCTTACCTTTAATAAAGATCTTAAAAATCAAACACAAAACAAAGTTCAAAAAAATTCAAAAATACAAAATCACGATTGTAAAATGAAGATTGCAAAAAACACAGCCAAACAACCAGAAAACAGCGAAACGCACATCTCCGTTCAATTGCAAAACACAACTGAAGAGAAAGGAGGAAGCCGGAAACGGAAAACTGATTTGACATACAGAACAATGACAAAACATAATTAATAGGCCTATTTAGGCAACTATAAAGACAATTTTGTACGCAATTGTTAGGCAACTAGAAAAATTAAAATAATAATACGCCATCTAGCGCCCCAGGAAATTACTACCCCAAAAAAAGATCGTTCAAGGTCGTATATCTCAGTTGACTGGCCCTGATGCTGATATGGGAGGAAGTGAAATAGGAATCATAGATAAATGCAACAAGTTTAGATTAGAAAGCCCGTAAAAATTTTAGGTCGCGAAATTATTTTGGGTCGCGACCGTTATACGCGATCTGGCGCTGCTATAGCGGTCGCTAAGAACAACAGCAAACAAAAACAGAAATAATTTTCTACCATGATTTTCTCTTGTCAAAGTCAGAATCTTCAAAAATCATAATGATCTTTCAAAGTCTAAACCGCTCTCATTAAAGAAATTCCAAAAAGTGTTTAAAGCGTCCATTTTCAAAGTAATTATTGTGAGTTTAATTCAAGTTTTATTTACTCCAGCCGGTGATAATTGTGAAAAAGTGGCATTAAAAATTTAAAAAGCTGTGCTGTGAACTGCAAAAATCATCGTGGATCGTGGCATAACGTCGATTTCCAATGTTTCATAGGTATTTCATACATGCGTCCTTATATAAAATAAAGTTTCTTGTATGCAACACACTGTATTTTATTTATAAAATTAAACGAACACAATAATAAATTTGAATAAACAATATTTGGCGATATAATTCCGGAAAATGCCGAACCGCTCCGAAATTTTAAAAAGTTTTGGGTCGCGACCGTTGCAAGAATAGCGCCAAATAGTGTTTACATTGTCCTTATGGGCACTTTCCAATCTACTTGTTTCATTTATCTATGATAGGAATTGAATAATATTTACGTATGACAACGAGTAGAAAAGTGACTGAACTACAGTGACGTAATTGAGCAGTGAAATTTGATCAAAGGACGCTTTATGTATTATTTAAGGAATTCCAATCTATTTACCGTCTATTTACCGACAATCCTGTCTATTTACCGTTTTTGAATCGATCAATAGACGGTCCTTGATTCATGACCCAATTCATACTCTGGTTCATACTCTGACATTTTACTGAACACCTGAACACTGATGACGGAAAATGATAGTTGTCAGTTCAAAATTAAAAGTTCACTTGCGGCCCCTGTTAATGTAACTTAGATAACTTAAAAGCAAAAAAAAACACTTTTTCTCACCTGATTTACTGTTCTGGTATTATATTTTATAAGAAATATGTAAATTCTCAAAATGTGTAGCACAGGCGATTGTGGTGTAGCTGTGCAATCATGGAAGCAAATGTGTAGCAAAATACACAATTGTGTAGCTTGTGGCAACCCTGCTTTTCTAGTGTTACTTTTATTAGGTTATCAACTTGCGGCCATGCTGACGCAATGCCGTCTCTAATAGAATAGCCTCAGAGCGAGATTTATGACGTCACGCTAGTTAGATACTACGGATTATAAGTAAGTATACATGGAAAACATAATTATTCCTCGTATCTTTGGTTTGTATTTTAAAAATGATATAGTTTACATGAAATATACATAATATACAGTTAATAAATACAATATATATATACCTATTTATACGTAAATAAATACTTGGCATTAATATAAACCATACAAATACAGCAAATGTTTTTACAATATGGCTGAAATCGTACTCCACAGTCAATGTAGATAGTTTTGTGTTAAGAATATGGGAATTAAAAATATGTGGTCATCTTTTGACAAGTTTATATTAGTTTATTAATTGCAGTAAACATTATAATATATAATGATTTTAATAATAATATAAACATTAGATATTGAATGTTTTTGTTAAATAAAAAAAAAAAAAAAAAAAAAAAAAATTATTGTATATTGTAAAACATTTGCTGCATTTGTATGGTTCATAGTTATTTATAAAGAGTATCTATTTTATAAATAGGTATATATTATATTGTATTTGTGCTTTGTAATATATTTCATATAGCTCTATCACCCACAAAACAAACCAAGCTCGAGGAATGATTGATTTTCCATGTATTCTAACATTGTACGTAGTATCTAGCTGGCAGGCATCATAAACTCTGTCTTTGTTCTAATAGAGACGGCGATGATCTAATGTTAGAAATGACAAAGCTGATGACACTTTTGTCAATTATGACATTTCGTTTTGATTTTGCAGAAGGCATACTTTTTTAATATTTTTTCTTTTCTATTTCACGAAAGTAAAAAGAGTTACCTATCTGATTCGTTCAGGCCCTCAATTTAAAGAATATCAGTCATTTTTTTGATAGAGGTATTTTATATTTGCCATGGTGGTAAAAAATAACGGTCAAAATTCAAAGTTATTCATTTTATAGACTATAATATTAGTAAATCTTCTTTCTATATTTGTTTAAAACATTTAAAGATATGTTTTAAACAGATTAATGACATTGGATGTTTGATAATAAATACAGAAAACTATAAAAATATTTTAATTTTGTAAGTAATTATATAAGACAATTATTTAATAATTATTTATAGCTAAAATGCAAGAAACATTTGTTTAAAAAGAAAATATTGAAAATGATCGATATATATGCCTCATCTCTATTTTAAATGTCATTACATTATAAATCTATGGTTATTATCAAAATGTCAAATTTTGAAATTTTCAAAAAAAAAAAAAAATATTTATTTTTCATAAAATAAACATTAACATTTTTTTTTTTTTTTTTTTTTTTTTTTTTAAAAAGGTATTAAATATATATGTAATATAAATAATTTTTGTTTTAGATAAATGCGGAATAAATGGAAATGGATTGACATAATTCAAAGGATTAAAAATCAAGAAAGTTTTGCCGATAATATTTAAGTTTTGTTAATAATAAATGTTCTATTATGGATATATTCAGTTAAAATATCACAAAAAAGTGTTGTCATTAACTGTTCAAATATATATGATGTATGATATCGAGATGTTACTTTGTATGAATAAAGAGGAGGTACTTGATAAAAAAGAGTAATTAAAATAGTTAGTTAGTGTTAAAAGAAGTTTTAGAACTTAACTGAGAATATTTTTAGGAAAAAAATCAATGAAGATTTAGTCGAAGTAGAAGAAAAATATTGTAATGAAGATTTAATCGAGACAAAAATAAAGTTGATAGTTTGTGATGTCAGATTTTATTAATAGGTAATAACGATATATAGATGTTCAACTGATGTAGAATTTTTAAAATTTATAGTTCTATTAAAATCAAATTCAAAACATTTACAAAAATTTTTTTTTTTTAGATTTTTTTTTAGTAGCAAAATATTATTGAAATTAAATATATTATGGTAAAAGAAGATACTTGTTAATGTAAGAAGAATGTTTAACAGTATTTTCCAATATTATTATAATAAATATATATTTTTAGTTATGCATGGATGGAAAGCTGAAAGGTGGATTAGTTGTTTATTTAACGTGATCGATTAATTTAAATTGAGAAGGGGATGGATTTTTACGGATATAGATATAATCAGTTATAACATGGAAGAAGAATTATGTATGTTATTAGCAAATTTTCAATCATTTTGTTTACTTTTAAATAAATTAATGATATTACAGTGTAAACTGTAAAAACATTGTATTTATAATGAAATTATAACAATTATTTTGTCTTCTTTTATATGTTTATAGTTAAAATATGACAATAGAAGAACATTTATATCAGAACAGAAATTGGAAATTATTTTTTAAATATGGAAAATGGACGTTTTAAAATGAATTTTGAATTAAAGAAGAAATTAATGTTGTTTAATAGAAAAAATAATACTTACCGTGTTTATTGAATACATTTTAGTGACAGAGTATTTATAATTTTATACATAATAATTGTAATAAATTTTATTCTTTTTTTTAGGGAAGAAGTAATAAGGGGAGGAAAATGTTAGTGAAATTAGATATATTTTAATATTATATGGATACATAATGATTGTAGTATACTATAATAGTTGAAAAAAAATGACTCAACATTAAAATGTCTTTTAAAGGAGAAAAAAGGGTAGCAATTACTATAATTATATGTAGATCAAGGAGATATAGAAGAATCAAGAAGATATAGAAATTTTAAAATAAGTGTATTTAAAAAAATAAATATTTAATATTAATAAATAAATTTTTATAGCATGAAAATGAAATATATGGTAATGGAGAGATGAGGAAATAGTATATTTATAAATGTATTAGAATGGAGCATAATATAATAATTGGATTATAATAAATATGAAATGATAAAGTGATACTATGAAACAGTTATATTTTTAACTATGTAAAAATGGATTTATTTCGAGTATAAGTATAATTTTTTGTAAGTTAATTAATAAAAGTAAATTAATTTATATTTTATAGGTGGTAAGAAAAAACAATGATGTAAAATTTGTAGAATATTTAATTTTAACAGAATAATTATAATGACTACATTTATTATCTATTATATGTGAAAAGGAAATGTAATAAAAAAAAAAGTTTTTTTTTATTTACAATTTATTATTAATACATTTAAAATAAAACAATATAAATTTTTTGATATTAAAGTTTGTATAAATTTCACAAATTATTGAAGTTATAATATTGTTGTAATTTTTTTTATATATAAAAAATTAAAATTAAGTAATTATATAATAATGTATATTTTGTATACATAGGAAAGAGATATAATTGAATATTAATAGTATACTGGTTAGGTAAAATGTTAAAAATAACACAACCCTCCTCCTTTATCCGGGCTTGGGACCGGCAACATTTATAAAAAATGTTGGCGGAGTTAGGTGTTTTTTTGTAGTTTTTATGTTTTTTATTTTTTTGGATTTTATATTAAAAAAAAAATTATGATTTTTTTTATATATAGAAGTGTAGTTTGTGTAATGATAAATGTGTAGGTCGTTATCAGGAATATATGTTACACATAATCCAAAAGTTTTATATGTTAAATTTATAAATAATTGTTATTAATGTTAATATTAGTACGTACATATATAAAGGTGTGATTTAAAAAAACTTGTTGATTATAAAATGTAGTCACAATCGGGTGAAGTCACAAATCGGTGGTATGTCATAGCCTGTGAAATGAAAAGATAGGTACTATTTAAAATAATAATAAATATATCTTAATCATATAGGATAAATAGGTATATTTACATATATGTTTCTATTAATTTTAAATTAATTTTTGTTAAAATGAAAATTAAAAGTACTTTAAGATTGAAAATAAATTTTAATAATTTTTTTATAATAAAGATTTTATTATGATTGATATGTTAATATAAAGCAAAATTTGAAAATATTTAAAAAAAAAAAAAAGTTTTTATATTAATATTTGTATTAAAATCATTTTAATATTTCATAATAAAATTTGTTAAGAAAAAAGATTTTATATTTAAATTATATAAATTATTTAATAATTATTATAATATGACTATTAATATTCAATAATAAAAAAATGTCATAAATCGGGTAATGGTGAAAATGATGTATATAATTTAATATTAACTTCTTGGAAAAATGTAGAAAATATGAATTTGCTTTAAAAGTTGTAAATTAAATTTAGATCATAAAAGAATAATTCAAATTTAAAAATGATATTTATATAATTTAGTGTATTTGATTTGATATAAAAAATTAAAAATATAGTAATATATAAATTTTATAGTTTGTTTATTAAAATTTATAAATGTTTAGTATAAACATAGATATATAAAAAAAAATAAATTTATTTTTGATTAAAATTATTAAACAATTTAAAAAAAAAATTAAAAATATAGGAAAATATTAAATTATATACATCATTTTAAAAAATTGGTCAAATAATTTGGTATATCGTTATGAAGAGTGTTATTATTTACTTTCTTCAGAGATTGTTAACATGACTAAACAATATTTTACTAAATGAAATGATCGTTATCAGTTGAAATATGGGGACTAAATTTAGGTAGAATTAATGAAGAGCATTAAATCTTCGGACTTGTAAGAAGAATATTTTGTAATATTCTGATATTAGGTTAATTGAAGTTTAATAGGCCAGAAGTGCCAGCGATTTCGCCACGAGATTCTCGCTGTTTTAATTCGTAATCGGTATGGAATGGTGGAGGTATAGACGATTTGGGCTCATAGGAATCATCAATGTCGTCGTCACTATCGTCATCGCCACTTTTATTACTAATGGGGGACCTAATCATTAAGGGGACTTGTCGGGGACGTGTGACTTGACGAGATGGTGAAGGTGTGCGAGGAAGATTGATGGTGGTTTGGGAACTGTTCCTTTTGCATGCCGGAAGTTTTCTACGACTAGGGAGATTAGATGGTGTGGGGGAATTGGCGTTTTTCTTTTAGTAGTCGTAGGGGAGATATGGGGTGTATCCATAGTCGGCATCACTTCACGGACAATGGGAATTTGATCACTTCGATTACTAAATATTTTGTAATAAATAATATTCGAAGTGTATCGGCGGGACGAAATTCGACCGAAACACCCCTGTTCTGGTGTTTCGTTAATCAAACAGCGAATTTGGTCAGGAGAACCAACTCGCGAAAAGGCCACATAGAGTTGGCCATGACTGAAACATGGCGCTCTAAGATAAATACCGACTTTATGGAAAGTTTGGCCTTGGGATTTATTGATGGTCATGCAAAAGGCGAGACGAACAGGGAATTGAAATCGATCAATATCATTTGGTAAAATATTATATCTGGCTTTCATGTGAATCTTTGGAATCCACACTACTTTATCTATAGAAGAGCCAGATAAAATTTTGCACTCTAGGAAATTTTCTTGTAAATTAACAATCACCATTCTAGTTCCATTACATAGACCAGCCGCGATGTCAATGTTACGAAGTAACATCACCACAGCTCCCTTTTTTAACCGCAACTTATGTGGCGGTAAAGCCGGGACATCAGCAGAGTTGATGAGGTCCATGTTTATAGAAAAAGAATCAGATGGGTCATTTACGTAATCGTCGATACTAACGTAGGTGGTGCATTCGTCTTCTAGACGATCTAAAATAAAATTATTAACGTCATATACAGCTGCGTTGGCAGGACAAAGAATAGCTCGTTTGCCATCGTAAATTCCAGTGTCAAAGACAAATTCAACAGATGATTCGATCGAATTGACCAATAGCGAAGGGGGAATTTGTACCAAATCACGAGGAATGACCGCCATATTAGCTGGCATAGTCGAATTATCGACGGCTACACCAATGGTTGTCGTAATAGCTGCAACAGCAGCTGTTGATATGACTTGTCTCTTTCGGAGACCCGTTGGTGTAGCACCGGTAACGACCGTAGCGTAAGGCAGCCTTCCCTCGCCGAGGCACAAAAGCCAATCACTATAACTGCCACCGAATTCTGTCCTGGTGTTAGTGGAACTGCCAATGGTGTTCGTGGCGTTAGACTGAACGGATCGCACGTTTGTCTTTAGAGAGACGAGTGTCATTTTCGGCCATAGATGTGAATTTTTTAGAGACGCATCTATAACTGCCATCTTTCCTCCCAATTTTACAACTGGAAGGATTTGACGAAAGTCTCCACCAAAAATGACGCATTTTTCCCCCATAGGCAAGTCATGTCTTCCGGTCAGTTCTTTGAGATATCTATCGACAGCTATCGCAAACCTGGGAGTCATGGGCGTTTCATCCCACACAATTACAGCGGCACGTTTTAACCGCTTGCCCTGATGGCTTTCAAGGGGATATCCAGCCACAGTATTGTCGGTTAAAATTAACGGTAGTCTAAAGGTGTTATGAACCGTCCGTCCTCCGGGTAGTAAATTGGCTGCGATGCCGGTCATCGTATTTATTATTAACGCGAACGCCTTGGCTTGATCTTGATTGAAGCTGTCGATACTATAATAAGGATTTAGAGGTACAATCGGACGATGTAACTCTTCCTCGTTATTATAGTCTTCATTTTCGATGGCAGTATCAAGGTCAATGGGATCGGTGGTGTTCGTTCTATTGTTGAGTCCAAGATCGATGGCATCTTGAACTCCAAATGAAGCCAATGACATGGTCTTTGTTCTGCAGCGATCTAAGATGTTATTGATGTAAATGATGCACCTACAAGTCGCATCTTCGACACTCATTCCACGTCGGATATAGTCCTCAATCATTGCCTTCTTGTAATTTTGCCAGAGAGTCGGAATTTGTGCAAGATCGTCATCGGTTATGATACAACATAATGTTGCGAATAATCTCCTAAGACGACATGGCATCTTTTTGGTGATCGCTTCGCGCATACATCGATCATATTCGTCACCGATCCTTAACAAATTCCTTTTTGTGCACGCCTCTTTAAATGTGGCGCACATCTCCACGTCGTCACCGTTTTTAATCATTAACAGATCTTCGAATGATGTAGGGCCTGGAGTATGAAGGAGCAGTATTCTTAGATAAAATTTCTCCAGTTGTGATTCGGACGGTGGTATGTCACATACTGCTCCTATAACGGCTAGTTTTGCTACACGACGGGTCCATCTAGCGTATGTCGCCTAGCATCTGGATCGTTTCTATTTAGTTCGAAAAAACCTTCTAATTTTGATTTTTTATTTAATAAAGCATTTAATTCTTCAACAGTTAAATTGTCCTGATCGTTGTCATGCAGAATATCTCTGTAGCCCGGTAAATGTACGGGGAGAAGAACGACAGAGTGCGACCTTTTGAAAATGTCAAATTCTAACAATTTCCAGGCCGCTTCTGTCGAACTAACGTACCGACACTCAACATAACGATGGATTTCGTCAACGCGACTATTTTCGTCGTTAACGTCGATAGATACACGATCCCATCCTTTCATCAAATACTTATGCAAGTATTTGATGGTGGCCGCTGCCCCTACAACTTCGAAATTAATATGGCAGTTATATTTAGCGAGCGCGTAAGAGTTGTAGGGGACGACGCGACGGTTGTCTATCGGCAAAGTCCCGTTCGCAAGTAAGATAATACGGCCATTGTTTGATCGACGATATTTGGGCCGTTGATTGTTACCCGCATTAAATTCTGTATCGCTACAAAACGAATGCGGATAGCCAAAGCGACATATACCGTCTCGCATACAAGGTGCATTATCCCCCTCGGAAGCACACTTATAATGAAGTTGATGAGACCCAACTCTGCTATAAAGTAGGGGTTGCTGGGTCTCGTGGGGAATGCATGCCGATATTAAAGCGTCGACATCGCGTTCGTGGTGTATCTTATCGTCTTGAACGAACGTAAAGAAGATATGGGAGTGTGAAAGTCCCCTTTTTTGAAATTCAACGACGAGGTGGTAGTTTAGTACGCGTCCGTAAAGTTGTCGGTCTGTGAAATCTTGAAGGAACAATTTCAGTTTTCCTTCGAAAACTCGACACGCCAAATCCGGACGATGTTCCCATCTCTGATGCCTTTCGAGGTTGTCGACAATTTTAGGCCACCCGGGATTGCACGTAAAGGTTATCAGAAGATCTGTTTTTCCATGACATGCTATTATCGCCATCGCATCAAGGAATCGGCGTTGGATGTTACGTGGCCCACCTTGAAAAGTGGTTGGAAGAGTGATGGGCCTGCTGATACGTTCCGGGACGGTTTGTTGTACACCGTCTTGCGCCTGTTAAGGTAATTGCGCAGCTGCCGAAGCGAATTCTCTGAGGGGAGATGGAACTTCTTTTGATGGTGTTTAAGATACTAAAGATAATTCGCTTCGGTTTTGCACCAGGCGTCCACAAGATATTGTTGGAACAATTTTTGTCCTGAATGGATGGCGCTAAATCCTCGGCGAATTTGCATTCTGTAGCGATAAAAAATTGCCGACATGTAATTTGACTTTCCCCCTCAGACATTTTTAGCTCGAGAGTATAACCGTCGTCGCCTTCAGGAAACAACAACGGATATACCATCGATATGGGGATCTGCTAATTTATTTAAATTTTTCAACTGGTGGTGGAGTTGATTAGTCGGTGGTGGTCTTGTTTGCGATTGCGACTGAAAGAGTTCCTCTAAAGTTTCCTCGTCAATTTCTGTCTGAACGGAATCGGTAGGTCTTGATGTTCTGAGTGATTGAGCGGATGTTAAGTTACTCAATCGGGGATATATTTTTAATTCGACGTCAAATGGAGGGTCTTCGCCGATAAAAAGAGCCGCAATATCGGAACGACTCTCTGGTAAATGATGTGTTCGGCGTTTTTCGTTGATATTATCGCAAAACGCCAAAACAACATCATTTAGTATATCCCCTCTACCTGATGTTCGCGATTCCGTTCGTATTTCGCGAATAACTTCAGCCATGGTTTTGTAGGCGTTAATATATCGATTAACGCGTCGAAGAACACGTTCGATTATATCGACTAGTGTTCTGTCGACCTGTCCTTCGATATATGTCCCACGCTTAGCGATGGCTTCACCGACGTCAATAAAATAAAATTGATTTAACCTAGGAGCGGTTAAATCTTGAGTATTTGGTAGAGGATTGGTAAAATGAAAAATCTGACCGCTGATAGCAAAACAACGGCCAGTTTGATTGTCAACATCTCCCGGAACGGACGTTTTAAAGGAGGCCATCGCTAGCAAACCATTGATGAACCGAATTTTATTCCTAAATTGATTGGACCATTCTCCTTCTCCGGTGAATAATTCAATCAATTCTGCAGGTATCGGACGTAAAGGCGGTAACACGATTTTACCGCCCTTACAACATGCCCAAGATCTTGTTCCTGTGACGGCACGACGTTCTATTGTGAAGAACATCGCACCGCAATGGAGGCATGTTATATCCATCGGGCCTAAGTTATGTACCCGATTTGCACAAATTTTTTCCACCTCCGCCGCGGAAACTGTAATACCATCACGGTATGTTCGTGTTGGTCTTACGTTTCTATTTATGTTGTTTAAAGCCATCCGTTGTTGCCACGTTAATCTTCGAGGAGTGATTACCGGAGCCCTCCTCGGTGGTTCGTTAGTTACGTTTGTCGGTTCTGTTATTTCCGGTAATCTATTTAAAATTATACGCAAATTTTGAAGCGGTTGTTGTTCAATGATGGGATCATGTTGGGTTTGTTGATTAATATCCGGTAATCTGTTTATATTAATACGCAAATTTTGAAGAGGTGGATTTTGTCGTGAACTTGCCAAAATATTTTTGTTTTTATTTTTAACGCGACGCAAATTATTTGACCAATTTTGAGTCTTAATTGGTGTTAATTCACTACTTACATTGGGTGTATCCTCTAAACGTGTAAGGTTAACGCGCAAGGGAGTTAAATGAAGAAGATTAAAATTAATAGGTTCTAATATTACCCGTAGTTCTTTAGAAATATTAGAAGAAGATTGAAATTGAGTTTGATTGATATTGATTGGAAGCCTATTTAGATGAACTTTTAATTCTTTGTTATTTTTAATTGAACTACGAGTAATTCTTTTATTAATAATTATAGAAGATGTAGATGGCGAATTATTATTCAACGAGGAATTTTTGCCGTTAACCTTTGTTTTCGTCATTCTGAAAAAAAATTATTTATTGATTTTGTATATTCATTAAATAATTATAAATTAAATAAATAGATTAATAATTGATATTATTTTTATAGATTAATATATGGTGTCAGACAAAATTTAGATGTTAATGGTTTCAAGTTTATTAAAAAAAATGGAAACAGATTTGTTTAAATTACTTAAGGGTAATATGTTTGATAGAAATGTTTATGCCCCTGGAATTTTTTTTAGAAAATATAAAAATATATATTTAGGGAATTGTATTGAAAAATACACGTAATGTAAGTAATATATTAAATTTTAAAATATATTGATGAAGAAGCATAAAAAGTATTTAAAATTTTAATTGACTAATTAAAGAAGTTTGAAATTATTCTGTTTGAAATAATTTAAACAAACTTATAAAGAACCTATAAAAATAGTATATAATAATAAAAATTAAATAATATACCGTGTGATCGAAAAAAAATGGCGTCGAGTTTAGAAACAATTATTAAAGATATTCCTTTTATAGTTATTGTTGAGTTTTTTTATCATATTGTATTTTGCTAATTATAAATATATATATAAGTGTTATTAATATATAAATTTATAAATGTATTACTTATCCTTATTTGGAACATTTGTAAATTATAAAATTATTTATATATTTATCAGTTATAATAAAAAAAAAGAAGGTAAAAAATAAAAAAATATGTTAATATTTTGATATAAACACTATAAATAGCAGTGAAATTTGTTTTTTCAGTGTTAGTATAAAAATTTAATGATATACTTTTTATTAATAATAGAAATATTAAATTTATCAAAAAAGATGTTTATTTATTATTAAAATTTGAAAAGAATATTAAATTTTATATTAATTATTAAATTAATACATTTATATTTAAGTTATAAACTTTTAATTATATGATTATAATAAAAAAATATTTTTTAAATAAATTGAAAAAATAAATTTAATTAATTAATAAAATAAATTTTTTTATTGAATGTACTAAATTGATATATAGATTTATGTAAGATAATATTTTAAATAATATATATTTTTTAGCTATGTAATAAATAAATATTTTTATTTATTTAAGTATATTGTTGCGAAATTGAACGAAAAGAGAATTGAGAAAAAGAAAATATTGAGAAATAAATATACCAGGGCACTCAAATGACTTACCCCTTTTTTGCCCACGCTCTTCGGATGCACGTAACGTTGTTGCGAAAAAATAGTACCAGAAAAATAGAAACAGTGTCGGATATCTCTGCACTAGTGTTTGCGACTTGTTCTCTACACACCGGCCGAATTGCAAATGTCTTCTGGTAGTACGCGTACTATGATCGCGCGCACTGGGCAATAGAGAAATCATCTGAGTTTGAATTTTGAAACGAAATTGAATTTAATTTAATGATTTATGTGATCATTCTCAACCAAACAATTAATAATCGAATAATGTAAAGAAAAATAAACAAAAAATTAAACTACTTATTTTTGCACATCACTCATATTGTACAAATTATTAAATATTGTAAAACTCCAAACCCAATTAAAGAAAACTAAAAAAAAAAGAATAATGAGATGCATGAACTGCTCTACAAATTTTCGACTGGAGAACAATCGTACTTTTTACGATTTAAACTATTTTACCCATTGACTTATTTCGGATGTTTCAAAGAAGGTACCTGGTGGCATATGAGGGTCTCTAATATTTTGTCAATATACAGGAAAAAATATATTGGTCTAAAGATCTAAGGTCTAAAGTCTTTGTATGGTTTCGCTCGGAACATTCAGTTGTTTATGTAACTATAGGCTGACTGAAAAATATCATTCGACAATATCGACAAAAAAATATGCATTCACATAGGTTGGCTATCAGACTGGTTGTTTTTATTTTATTTGTAGCTGTTCTAAATAATCCATCCTACAACATTGGCCACCTCTCTTTGAAGTTCTTCAGTCAGAATGTTCTTCTTCTGCTTTGATTACGTCCCTCCTAGATTTTTCCACCGCCACAGAATAATCTGCAGTAACTGAGACTTGGGATCTCTTAGAAATTTCTTTAAGGATTATAGAAAATCTCTTTTTCTTTGTGCATACGGCGCGGCGTAGCACCATGATATTTGTAACTCTATCAGCCCAAGGAATTCGTAACATTCGTAACAACCCAAAAATTTTTGATATATATTGATTTTTTTTTTTTTCCTTTGGAAGTCACCAATTTTTGGTTGTATCTAATGGTTCATATTTCAGTGGCATATAATAAGGTTGACATCATAAAGCATCGAAGCATTTTTGTTTTAATTGGGTTAAGTTATGTTTCTACTGCAAAGAAGTTTCTTGAGTTTTAGGAAAGCTTCGGGCTATCTCGATCCTCGATATTACTTCTTATAACTGTTCGACAGTTTTATTTATTATTGTGGCGAGTGTGCTTGGTCGGTATTCAGTTTTCTTATTGTCCCATTTTCTATGGATATAATATTAAGAATTATATTTTTGTGTGTTTGTGTAACCACTAACTGTTTCATTGATGAAATTCGTATTCAGATCATATCGTTTGCAGTTTTCAGGAGACTTAATTCTTCGAAATAGATTCTGCAGATCTTTGTTGCTGTCTGTCATGACTATTGCATCGTCAGCATATATAAGATTGTTGATTTGGCGACTATTCACTTTGATATTCTATATGCCGCATCTCCCTGTTGTTGTGAGGTTTTTATGTTTTCGTAATCCATGTCGTTTTGGTGGTAAATATGTTTTTTAGCAGCTGTTGTAGGCGTGTAACTGCGCTGTATCAGTAATGTGATGTCTGACATGGGTCTAGATCTCTTTTATTAGTGTCGTGTGTGTTCTCCAAATTCATTGAAATATCTCAAATAGTTTGATTGTTGAGTGTTGGTGTTATTAAGAGATAATTCATTATTTTCTCTCGAACATTTGATGGTAGTTTCACATTCCTATTTGGCGATGTACGGCGCTGACAATGGCCGTTTGTATTTTATGTATTTTGCTTTTGACGC